GAGCTGGGGAAAGGATGAGTGGAGTAACGAAGCACCCGGCCAGCGCCTCTATTGGACAATGTGACTGATGACTTGGGGGAAGGGGGAACGTTCACTTGTTAATTAGGTGAAAACCGCGGGAACTTTCAGAGTCAGTTTTCATTAATTGTGCCAATATGATATATCCAATAAATTATTATTTGAGGAATTTACTTGCCTCAGAGTTACCTGCCTCGGAGTTCTACTTTCTATGGGTGCATTACTTGAAACACTGACATCCACTCCATTTCATTCCTATTCACCTTTCGGCTTTCAAATTTGACTTTAGATTATCAATCTAAGGCAGCAAAGGAGACTTGGTAAATATTAGCATCCTTCATTAAAGAATAGTTATATTGCAAACAATTTACCCGTCTTTTTGTTCCCTAATCATCCAGGAGAGAAAAGGCCAGGAGCTTTTCATAGAGAAGTACTCTTACAGCTTCCTGTAAGTGGATAACAAATTAATTAGCTCCTAAGCAGGAAGAGCAACTATTGTAAAAATGACCCACATAGAATCATTCCCTCTTTTATTAGTGTTTCTGCTTTTTTGTTCAGAAATGAACAGCAAAAGAGCAAAAAGGCTTGTAACAGGGAATCTGATTTAAATAAAAATTTAAAAGATTTAAAAAAAAAAAAGTTATTGACATCATTCATACACAATTATAATCGGTATAGTTGTCCTAATGGGAAAATGTTGATTTCTCTAAAGAAATGTAGTGAACTTTTGTTCTCCAAATGGGCTATACTGCAAATTTTAAAACAATTTCTTTGAACTGCACTATTAACTGGAGCAGAGTGTACACTCTGTATATATCATACAGAGGTTTTTTTTCTCGCTCATTTTTTCGTGGAAGACAAGTATATAAACACTGGTCTTTATTTATTTTTATAAAATTATTTCCAAGCTCCCTTTTGACCTACAGAGGGTCCTTGCGTTGATTTTTAGTTTCCCATTTTTGAATCAATTTCACACTTTCTCTGGCACGATGGCTAAATGGGCAAATTATTGGATCGATCGGTTTTTTCTTTTGAACAGTACTTGGCATCTCTTTTTCACAGCATATTTCGCAGAGGAAAATGTTGTATTGGGGTGGGAAATGTTATCATGTGAATGCTAATACCCTTTCTATTCTTTTCTTTAAAGACAACGGATGGCCAATGATGCTTTAGCTTTTTATGAAAAAAAGATTTGCGAGGAGATGATACCTTCTCCCAATTTGTGGGAAATGATTTATGAAATCATTATTTCATTATTAGGCTCAGTGCTGACAGCGGGCTTTTGATTGATATTCTTTGATTTTTAAGGGCTATCTTTTATCTCACTTTTCTCTAAATTAAAGAACAAGGGCACTGGAATTCTTATTGCAGAATCAATTTATGTAAAATAAAGGAAGATTTTTAAAACAGGTAAGGGCAAATAGAGATTGGTAATGCAGTATATATATATATATATATATATATGTTATCATTGCTTCTTAATGAATGTATTGAAATTCAGGTGGAAACTTTGAGTAAGGCTTCGTGATATGTTTCCAAGAAGAAATATTTGCTTATTTATAGAGAATTAATTAACATAAAATTATTCAGTTCCTTTAATTCCTTCTGTACATCTGTTATCAAGTAGAAAAAAGAGAGAAAAACATACAATAATTAATGTGTTTTCTCATATGAGCATATGCATTTGTCGTAATTGACGTTGTTGTATACATTTCTTGTTGCCAGGCTACAAAACATACTGATGATGATCTTGCAAAAATTTCTTTTTACATATACAACCTGTGCCATTATTGATAATACTAATACTACCAATAATAAGAATGAAAGTGGTCTGGGACTTTAGAATTCAAATAGGCAAGCACCTGCCACATAACATCCCAGGGCTTAACAATTGTTGATAAGAACGACAAAAAAGTCTGGATAATGCACATGGCAGTACCTGAAGAATACAGAAGAGAAGAGAAAGAACTGGAGAAAATAATAAAATACAGAGGTCTGCAAATAGAAATAGAACAACTGTGGCAAAAGAAAGCAAAGGCAGTTCCAATATTAATAGGCGCCATTAATATTGAAACATTGAATACAGTAGACATTGACAAAATCTCCATCAGTCAATTGTAAAAGGCAGCTTTCCTTGGAACAGCTTACATCCTGCGACAGTAACTTTAACATCTATCCCAGATCTTAATAGGCAGATAAAAATGCCAAATTCAGTCTAAACATCTGACTACATGACAAACCATAATCAATGCGCTATTGCTTAGCGCATTGTAAGCCGCCCTGAGTCTCTGGAGAAGGGTGGCATATAAATCAAATTTAAAAAAAAAACAAAACCCCATAATCATAAATTGATTATAGGTTGGATTCAGGCAAAATCCCTTCATAGTTCTCACTTTAACTCAGTAGAACATATTTCATGATTTCCATCAGTATTAAAATTCAGCCAGTGGGTTGCCAGTTTCTCTGTGGAACAAATGATATTAACCCTTAAAAAGAGTTTGAAAATCTTCAGGTAGGCAACCAAGGTGAAGAGTTGATCAAGATGCAAGCATGATTTTCTTTGTGATACTTTCTCTTTTAAATCCATGGGATTTATTTATTTCTTTATTTAGGAGTTTACAAGGCTGCTCCACTCTACAGTAACTCTTGGCGGCATAGGATAAAAACAATCAGAATGCTGGAAGAATTAGAAGTGTTAAAAAATAATCAAATGTGTCACTTCGGACAAGGTCTGGGGAAAGAGACAGGTTTTGAAGGCTCTTTTAAACATGGCTGAAATGGGGGTCAGAGGTATGTCAAAGGACATAGCTCCACAGGGCAAATGTTAAGGTAAATAAGCTTATTTACCATATTTTTCAGAGTATAAGACACACCTTTTTCCCCAAAAAAAGAGGGTGAAAATCTGGGTGCGTCTTATACTCCGAATGTAGCCCTGCCCAGCTTCTCAAACGGAGGTTTCAGAGGCTGAAAAAAGCATCAGAAACGAAGCTTCAGAAAAGAAGCTCCCAAACAGAGTTTCAGAGGCTTTTTTTCTGAAGCTCTGTTTCGGAGGCTTTCAGAGGCAGGAACAAAGCAAACAAAAAAAAGCAAGGCACAGAGCTCACAACCAAGGAACCTGTTGCTAAAATTCACCTCTGGGAACAGCTGATTGGAGGTATTCCAGGAGGCCGATCCACCCACCAATCAGCTTTTTTCTTATTTTCCTTCCCAAAAACTAAGGTGCATCTTATACTCCGGTGCATCTTACACTTCGAAAAATATGTACTTACACTAATGGCCAAAATTGTGGAAACCTTTTGGGAAAAGTGAATTTGTGAGGTTTGATGGCTAATAACACCACTTTTTTTTTTTTTTTTTTGAGTTTCAAGATAATCTTATTCCACTGCTGGAATGGCCTGGGAATAGTCCAGACCTTAACCCAATTGAAAATCTATGGAACCGCCTAAAGAAACTTGTTAGTCAGAAGCGATCCAGAAACAAAACCCAGTTAATAGAAGCAATCCTTCAATCTTGGTTTCACATTGTAACAGCTGAAGAACTAAAAGACTTGGTTCACTCCATGGGAAGACATTGTAAGGCTGTAATTTGTGCTAAAGGTTACCCAACTAAGTATTAACTGACATAGTAATAATTTTTGTATATCTCCTTTTTTCTATGGTGATAATTTTTGTATATCTCATTTTTTCTACGTTTCACTTTTCTTCTTTATACTGTAACTGCTATTCTAATAGCAAATCCTTCATAAAAGTTATTGCATTACATTCTTGATTAAATTATCTTTCCATTGATATATAATTTTATGGTACTACTCCCCCCAAAAAGTGGAGTTATTAGCTATTTTTAGAAAACACACTTTTCCCAAAAGGTTTCCACTACTGTATTGTGTACATAAGCCATTCACTTGCAATTCTCTGAAATAGAAAACATCTCATTTATCTTGTTCCTGTGTCATGTGGTCTCCTTTACCCCTCCGTCCAAGAATTTGGGGAGCTTTAAATCCCACTATTTAAAATTCTGAATTCCCAGTTTTACTAGGTACTTAATACTAGAGATCGCTTTTAAACAGTAACAGTAACTGTTGCATTTACGATCCAGGAGATGCTCGGCAGAATTTCCAGTTTTATCTCTGAGGGACTACAAAATTTCTTTGTAAGAGGACACAGAATGCTCTGGCATTTTATATTCCTGATTTTTGCAGGTCCTTTTACAACCACATCCTGCTGACTTGGCAATACTAATTGGTTTTTTTTAAATTGTCAGATGAGTTCTTTTATAAAAGGCTGCAGCTTCTCTTTAGAAGAATCTGTAAAAGAACGCATAATTCAGGAATTGTGACTACACATTGTGACTACAATGGCACCTAAACACCCCCACACACACATATTCATACACATACATGCATACACACAATGCACAATAGCATCTGCTGGGTTAAGATGGATCTTAATTTTTGGCAACCAGTTCATACCGTGGTTATAGCATCCTTCAGTCACATTTGCAGCCTTCCATGCCAGCGTCTCACAATCAAAGTAGGAGATTATCAGGGAAGGTCACAAGTCACTTCAATAAATGGCTCGTGTTCTCTTCTGCCTAGTAATAAAAGAGCCTTGGTAGTATAGGGGTTTAAGGCACCCTGTTATTAAGCTGGTTATTAAGACCAGCTGCCTGCAATTACTGCAGGGTTCGAATCTCGCCAAGGCTCAAGGTTGACTCAGCCTTCCATCCTTTCTAAGGTAGGTAAATTGAGGACCCAGTTGTGGGGGCAATAAGCTGACTTTGTATAAAATATACAAAAGGATGAAGGCTATTGCTGAGCACATTGTAAGCCGCCCTGAGTCTTCAGAGAAGGGCGGCATATAAATCAATTTTTTTTAAAAAAATAGTCATCCCTATCCCCTCCACACTCATGTTGCACATCACACACTACTCACATATCTTCCCTGTTCTGACCCAACTCCCCAAACACAACAAACCCTCAGACATGAACTCAAAAGATTCCTTTATTAGGAATGATAGCAGCCCTGGCAAAAAGTTTCCATTGCAGACCAACAAGTCCATCCGTCCGGAAAATGAATAGTTGTCTGCCACACCTGCTCATCTCTGCCCCCTGCCTTTTATCCCCAGAGCTAGGGTGGGGTCTCGCTAGCAGTGGTGGCTCTTCTTTCCCCAGGATCGGCCCACAGATTTCCACTGCTCTCCTCTGCCTTCTGAGCATCTGCATATCAGACATGGGACCCAGCTGTTCCTCCTCTTCCTCATCAGCCACCTCCAGACCTGGGGACTGTTGACTCTCCATCTGAGGGCTGACAGACAGTCCAGGCTCCACCTCTGTCTCTCTCTCACAGTGCCAGCTCCATTCCTTCTTCCCCCTCAGAACTCTCAGATTGCCTTGATGCTGACCCTGATTCCCACACCTCCTCCTCCTCCGATTCAGCTGTTGGAGAGACTGGTGGCCGACAGGCCATAACATTCCCTCACCTTACCTGCATGTGTGCATACTTGAAATCTAAGGTCAACTGATGACTGACCATTTTTTTTCTTAATAACTGCTGAGATTGCCATCACTAAGTGATGCAGTCAGATGATGTCCTCCTTTATGATCCCATTACTAAGGGGTTGTCATAAAGAACAGAGGGTCATTCTCCAAAGCACCTGAGAGCAGAACAAGAAGCAACGGATGGAAACTTATCAAGGAGAAAAGCAACCTAGAACTAAGAAGAAATTTCCTGAGAGTTAGAACAATTAATCAGTGGAACAAGTTGGACGTTTTGGGTGATCCAACACTGGAAATTTTTAAGAAGAGATTGGACAACTATTTGTCTGAAATGATGTAGGGCCGTGATGGCGAACCTATGGCACGCGTGCCACAGGTGACACGCGGAGCTGTATCTGTGGGCACACAAGCCTTGCCCTAGCTCAGCTCCAGCACACATGTGTGTACTGACCAGCTGATTTTCGGGCCTTCCGGTTCCATCGGATATCGGGAAATGGGCCGTTTCCGGCCTCCCGGGGAGAAGGGAAGGCCGTTTTGCCCTCCCCAGACTCCTAGAAAGCTTCTGGAGCCTGGGGAGGACGGAAAATAGGCCTACTGGGCCCACTGTGCCATCACATGCCAAAAGTGTGGGGAGCATGGGGGGGGTCACATGTGCATGTGCGGGGTGGGGGGCATTGAATTATGGGCACGCATGTGTGTGACCCCCCCCCCCCCATGCTCCCCCCGCTTTTGGCACATGACAGCAAAAAGGTTAGCCATCACTGGTGTAGGGTTTCCTCCCTATCCAGGAGTTGGACTAGAAGACCTCCAAGATTCCTTCCAACTCTGTCATTCTGTTACTTGATGATGGAGATTCTAGTCCATTGTTAACTGTGAACTACCTCTATGTGCATTACATTATAGTATTTGTGTAATTTGTTGTGCCGTGATCCATCTTGATGGACAGAAACCCAGAACAAATAAGCAAGCAAAGTAATACAATTCAAATGCTTCTGGCTTCCAAGGAAGCATGTGATTTAAAAGGAATCAAGCTGTTTATAACACAAAGTGAATATAAACATGTAGCTATGCCTGAAAGTTACAGTACATTTAGACTTCTCTTCCTTGCTCAGAACCACAATTCACCATGAACTTGAAGCAAGATGGCAGAAATCAATCTCAACTTATATCGAATCGATAGAACTTTCTGCCTTAATTGACTTGCATAACTTTTTTTGAATTATCGATAGGAACCCCGTTTGCTTGTAGAAATTGCTCTGTTAGCAATTATCACCCATCAGATTTTACTTTACTGTTCAATTGACAGGAATAAGTGAAGAGATGGATATTCAAGTGTGCGAGTTTGTGTGTGTGCATGCATAAAGAGAACTTTGCAAAAAGAAGGGTTGCAAAATAGGCTGAGTCTATTTATGGCCCAGCTATTTCATTCTGTTTCTCTTCCACCCAATTTGGCTCCCTCTCTCTATTTATTGACTTCTTCAGGTGACTTCATCCTTTACATTCTGAATTTTTCAATGAAAACAACAGATTGGATAGTTTTGGGGGGGTGCAGGTCCCACACTGTCTTAAGCTTCAGTGCCGTAGCCTCAAACCTAGAGTCTATGATAGTTCTTCTATTGTTAATGTGTTTCAGTAATCTTCCCCTGTTTTGGATATCTCTACAGAATGTCAAGGGAGAGATAGATGGTAGGTAGGTAGGTAAGTAAGTATGTGTAGAGAGAGAGAGAGAAAGGATGGAGGGAGGGAGGGAGGGAGGGAGGGAGAGAAGGAAGGAAGGGAGGGAGGGAGGGAGGAAGGAAGGAAGGAAGGAAGGAAGGAAGGAAGGAAGGAAGGAAGGAAGGAAGGAAGGAGAAAATATCAAAGAAACTCTGATAAAGCTTGACTGAAAGAAGAGTCACACATGAGTCACATTTGTGAGTTGACCTCGACCCTAAGTTTCTGTCTTGCATGTCAAGCTCTTCATATCAGAGAACAAGCAAACAAAATTCCCACAGCGTTTCAGGGAACTGGCTTAATATATTAAATAGATTAAGTGAAATGGGTGGCAACTGGGACAGTGATGGGCTAACCACTCTTTTTCCTGGTCAGCCTGGCACTGGTATATCCACCTGGTCTTCACTTTTCTTTCTTAACTGCAGTGACTTCTCCTACACAAATAATGCTGAAGAATCTGGCTGATTGCAATGGTTTATTGCAGTGAAGGATGCACTTGAGCCGTTATAATGCAGTATTGCAGTATTAATTCTGCTCACTGCCAGCAATTCGATTCTCACCAGCTTGACTCAGCCTTCCATCCAGCGTGCACCTTTATTGTGTCCATTTAAATCCAACTCAGTCTGAATCGTTGGATTGACTAATTCAATCGGTTATTCCAGATCGGTCTGAATCTATTAGTTGCACAGGTTCATAGCGTTCACTTTTTATTGAATTTTGTATCATTTTTGTGCTGAATTACGGTATGCAGTAATTTTGGGACAGTTGCCTTTCTAAACTAAAGGTGATTTGTTTGTTTGCTTGCTTTTATGCCACTGACTTTCTGTTTGATGGCTTTTAACACACATATGTTAAGGTCTCTCCCAGCCACTACAATAGAAAGAACATTGGAAGTTTGCTGAACTTGCAGTATGCCAATTTCTACTGAGCGTGGAATCACTTTACCAAGAGATGGTTTTGAAAAGTTCATCTGTAAGCTAATGATGTTGTTTAGGGTATGTTCACACGGCCCTGGCTAGCAATCTGGGATAGAACTGGGAGCAGATTATTGCAAATATTCCCAGTTCTCATCAGGCATCCTTGGTGCTTTCTGAGCTTGGTTGTTTTCTTGCAGATGTTTCATTTCCCAAACTAGGTATCATCAGTACTAATTACCAGCACTGATGAGGTTACCTAGTTGGAATATTGAAATGTCTGCAAGAAAACAACCAAGCTCAGAGAGCACCAAGGACCCTTCATTTCAACCCTGAGCTATCATCATTCTCTTTTATTGGCCTTGGTACTCATGGCTATTAAAACTCATGCAGTACAATGAGATTCGGGAAAAGGCTGGAACATTATAGATCAGTTTCATCTTCATTCACTTTACATCCATGCTTTCTTTAGCTGATTATTCACTTTTGGAAGAGAAATTAAATGTTCTAAAAGGTGAAGGTACCCCTCGCACATACGTGCTACTCGTTCCCAGCTCTAGGGGGCAGTGCTCATCTCAGTTTCAAAGCTGAAGAGCCAGCGCTGTCCGAAGACGTCTCCGTGGTCATGTGGCCAGCATGACTAAATGCCAAAGGCGCATGGAACGTGTTACCTTCCCACCAAAGGTGGTACCTATTTTTCTACTTACATTTTTTATGTGCTTTCGAACTGCTAGGTTGAAAGAAGCTGGGACAAGTAATGGGAGCTCACCCCATTACGCAGCACTAGGGAATCGAACCACTGAACTGCCAACCTTTTGATTGACAGGCTCAGTGTCTTAGCCACTGAGCCACCATGTCCCTTTTTAGATGTTCTACTTGGGGTGAATTCTACAGTGGAAAAAAGGGGGGAAATAATCCAAGAGTGGATGAAAGTTAAAGTCAGTGAAAGAACTATGAAAGGAGAATGTTCTCCAGGTGTACCTGATGACAATGCTCGTTTTCTTCTCATTGTGCTCTTAGGCAGCTAGGGAGAAAAGAAAAGCATTTCCTATTGTGTGCATATCTCATTTTCTTGTCTGGCTGACAAAATAAGAAGGTTGATCAATGGGAACCAGTTATCGATTGCTGTTGTAATTAATCGCAACAGATTAAAAGGCTCTTCAAAGACAGATTGGCATTAGATTTTGGTGCTTTGAATTCTCTGAATCAATTAATACCAGGATGTACCCTTTGTAGATGATAGTGTTTTTTTTTGCCATTGTTTTTGTAAACATAATTAAACAATAATCGTTCTAGGCTAGACTCATCAGTGAAAAGAAAATGAGATAAAACTAATGTGTGTTGCATAATTAGTTAGCTAAATCCTGGTTTTTATGGTTCAGGTATGACATTTATTTAGGCAGAAGCCAAGTTTAATCAGCAAATAATTTTACAAGACAATTGCATTTATGGTAAAGCAAAATGCTCAGCAGAGACTTAATTGTCGTGAAGAGAGAAATGCTTGAGAAAAGAAAATTGTTTTTTTTCCCCACTTTGAAAAGATCCCAAATGTAAAAATATATATTTTTGCTATTTTAATGGTGTAGAAAAAGGCACCTTGAATTGGAAATAAATGACTTGGAAAAAAAAAAGACAGATTTGAAGATTTATAGAAGTAAAACATGTAACCAAATATATTTCTCCTAGAAGTAAAATGTATTATGTTCACCTAATTGACTTAAAACGGTTTTGGTTTAAGTAGAGTGTAAAGACACTCTACTTAAGTAGAGTCTCTTTCAATGACATGAACACCCCACAAAATTCTTACTGTGATTGTTATCATACACAATTATCCAGTTATCCATGACTAATTTGACTAATTGTTTAATTAGGCTGGATCAAGCAGAGACAAAAGGGGACAATTTTTGTATCTGTAACCTACGTACCTTCTCAGTGACCCACAGTCATGTGAAAAAGAAAGCACACACTCTTTGTGTTCTATGGTTTTACGTATCAGTAAAAATCATCTGGTCCTTAGCAGTTCTTAAAAGTAGGTAAATGCAACTTCCGATGCACAACCAGTGGTGGGTTCCTCCCGGTTCGGCCCGGTTCTGCCGAGCCGGTAGCGGTGACGATATGGCATCATGGAACCGGTTCTCTTTGTTCGGGAGCTGGGCCCTTCCACACACACACACACCGCGTTATTCTTAACTTTTATTTGGCCCCGCCCCCAATCTATTCGCTGCCTCCTGAGTCCCAGCTGATTGGCTAGAAGATTAAAAACTGTTTAAACTCTTGCTGCGGGGCTTCAAAGGGCCGCCCTACAACTGATCAGTGTTAAAAGGCAGTGTGGTGGTAGACCAGTGTGCTCGAAAAACAAATGGGTAGACCGGTGCCTCCAAAAATAAATGAGTAGATCGGTACAGCTCTGCAAGC